ATAGATAGATAGATAGATAGATAGATAGATAGATAGATAGATAGATAGATAGATAGATAGATAGATAGAAAGAAACAGACAGACAGGCAGACAGGCGTGGATGGATGGATGGATGGATGGATGAATAATTGATGGATGGATGGAGAGATAGACAGACAGACATGGATGGATTGATGGAGACAAACAGACAATATAGACTGCACAATATCTAAGACCAAATTAAAGAAACTCTTCCCCCCCACACCAAAAACAGTGTCCTACATTAGGTAGATGATATTCTACTGTGTGTTCTTCATTGTCTCTTATTAAGAAGAAATATTGTATTGAGTTAAATGGTTGCAGAGATGATTTTTTTAAAAATAGCCTAGATTAGTGTTTCTCAGCCTCTGTAGTTTTAAGATGTGTGGACTTCAACACCCAGAATTCTCTAGCAGTTCTGAATTCCTCAAATCCCTTTCAGGTCTCTAGCAGCAAAAGGAAACACAGAAACATAGAGACACTTGCATGCCTGTGTTTTATTATTCTCTTGCAAACCAACTTAAGCAGTGGGAACAGAAATTAAATTATTGATACAGTAGCCTGATCAATACTTTTTCAGCTGCAGCTGTCAATGAACTTTCTGTCAAAGGTAAGCCAGATTTTCTCTCTTGTGAATGGCAGATGTCGGAAACTGTTGGCTGTGAGTTTCCTTAAAAACCTTTGATTTCTTTCAGTCTCACCACTATATGTATTTGAGGGTTTTTTTTCCTTCCCCCTAGAAGGAAGAGATAGCAGCTAGCTTCTGATTTTAAAGCAAGATTTTTTCGACTTTATCTCTTGAAATATAAAGAAGCAGTTTTATCATCTGATATCTCAAGTCTAAACCCTCTTGCCTCAAGGAAGGAAGGCTTTGAATTCTCTAGGTAGAAATCCAAAGAGATAAAATGCTTGGAGGCTGTGAAGTAAAAAGTCTACCATCCACAGCCAACATGGGCATGGCAGTTCAACATCATTGGAAATGTTCACAATAGAGAAAGCTGGATTGTTTGTGCCTCAAAGCTATGCGGAGAAAAACATAATCGGGTCAATAATCTTGCCCTAACAACAATAACAATGATTCAGATTCCAGGAAAAAAAATCAGATTGAAAAACATAAGTGGGCCAATAATCTTGCAATAATGATTCAGATTTCAGGAAAAAATATCAGACTCTGGATTGTGCAATTCTTTCTACTGGAGATGCTGACTTATTTACTGACTGGTATTGTATATTATTTGTTTTCTACTGCCATTGTACTTTTCTTCCTGTTTTTCTACATTTTCTATTTCATTCTTACTTCTCCTTATCTACCCAAACTTGTCAATGAAGTAAGTGCTGCGTACGCGTTTATTCATTTCCTTTTAAGGTTTGAGAGCATTGCTTTCTGGTTTTCATAAGGCAAATTGATTTGTTTTCGTTTATTATTATTAAATTCTTAGAACCCTTCTGGAATTCGGATCCTTAGAAAAAAAAAAACCTGAAACCGCATCCGCTTTTCCCCATTCCAGATAGCAAGAAACAAACTGCGCCAATAGCAAGAAACGAATGAGGAAAAATCCCCTTGAGTTTCACTTCTTTGCGAAATTTGGGGACTAGCCAACAGTTGCCCCAAACCGGCCATCTGTGCCCAGAGCCGGTCACTCCGGACAGAAATAAACATCCGTGCGTGTAAAGACAGCCAAGCACACGCACGCAAAGGCACCCCCCCCCCAACCCCATTCCAAAGCATGCTTAAGCATTGCAACACGGTTGCACGTGACAAAAACCCATGACTCGCTTTGGGCGTGCACTGTTGTTCAACTCTGATGATGCTCTTGGGGGTGTGGGGGAGTCCAAAGAAATAAAGAACGAGAAGGGAAAGGCACGCAGGTTTGGAATAAAGCCGCCTCCGATCCGGACCGGCTCCGAATTGCCCCCTAAAACGCGCGCTTGCAATTCGAGTTTATTTTTGCGGCGACAGGAAAACCAGGAAGACGCCGCCTCTTTGCCACTCACGGCGGGAGGGGGAAGCCGTGAGCGACGGCGCGCGGCGGCCAATCGGCGAACGCGGCCCGGGCCGAAAGAGGCGGGCTTTAAGAACCACCTGGGCATTCCAAGCAAGGAGGCGAAGCGGCGGACGGCAGAGGCGGCGGCGGGAGGGGGAGAAGGCTCCGAGAACGGCGGCCCGAGCCAGGCTTTTCTAGCGAGTTGTGGGGAGGAGGAGGAGGGGGGGAGAGACTCTGGCGCGACTCGGAAGAGCCCCCGAAACCTGGAGATTACGGGTTCGAATCCCACTCGGGGAAGAGATTGGGTTTGGAAACGCGGGGGTTAGTTTTAAAAGTTTCGGGGTACGTGGGTTCATCCGGCTCTTGAAAGTCAGCCCCGCTTCGTTCTATAGTTTCTAAGAGGGGATCTGAGCAACCGAGGAGCTTGGAAGTTGCCTGGAGTAGGGAGGAAGGGTTGGAGGGTGCCACAATTGGGTGAGGGTAGGGGAACCCCAAAGGTTCCTGGGTCCTTAAGGGAGAGGACATTTTAGGGGGATTTAAGTAAGGATTAGGGTTAGGGGAAGATATTTTCAGTTGGGTCAAACAACAGGAGAAGTTGAGTAAGGAGTTGGCCAACCAGCAATGCAAGAGGTTGAGCCCAACGAGAGGAGCCCGCTCTTAGAGCCCAATGCCCGGTCGCCGGTCTCCTTCCCTGCGGCCAACGTCTTCCACGGACGGCGCTTGGCATGTGCCGCTGTGCTTCTAGCTGAGCTGCTGGAAAGGGTGGCCTTCTACGGCATCACCTCAAACCTGGTGCTCTTCCTCAATGGAACTCCTTACAATTGGGAGGGCGCCCAAGCCAGCCAGGCCCTCCTGCTCTTCATGGGCATCACCTACCTGGTCTCCCCTTTTGGGGGTTGGCTGGCCGACGCCCTGTTGGGCAAATTCCCCACCATCTTGGTCAGCATGGCAGTCTACCTCTTGGGCATGCTGGCTTTCCCCGCCATGGCCATCGCTCCCAGCCGCCAGTGGCTCTGCGGGGAGCTTCATCCGTGGCCCATTGAGAACTGCTCATCGCCTCTGCAGAGCAATACCACCTCCGCCCCGTGCCCGTCACCAGGAGACATGCGCTACTGTCTCATCGCCTCCTATGTCGGCTTGGTGCTGGTTGGACTGAGCGTGGGCTCCGTCAAGGCCAACATCACCCCCTTTGGAGCTGATCAGGTGGAGTAGTCTTCATTGTCTTCTTCTCTAACAAAGGGTTGGGTTGGGTTGGGTTGTCAAAGGGGCAACCAAGCCAACAGGTTGGACAGCTTCATGTCAGTCCTTAGCTGGTGATGTAGATCTTCTCAGAGATGTGGTCCCTGCCAAAACACCATAGTTAAGTAGGAAACCAGGTGGTTTCTTAAGATGGGTTCCATGAGAGGTTGGGCCATCCTTGGTTTGGGTGCTTTTATAGAAATTTCTGCACTAAATAGGGTGGGAAGATAATTAATAGCCTTCCTATGCTAGATATCGATGATCATCTTCCCCATTTCCAGACATGGCTGCAGAAGCATCTGGAAAATGGTGGCTTAGAGCACCTCTTCCAACCTGGTGGGACCCATCAACTCATAGGTTTGGCCACAATGGTCAGTTCAAAAAAGGTTGGGGTGGACAATGCTGAGTTAAATGCAGCAATGGCCTCAAATGATAGTTGGCAGCTTCTTGGCCTTCAAGCGATGAGCAGCGATTGATTTTAACAGTGAGACCCCCACCATGTCAACTCAATTCTTGTAACCTTCTGGTTTTGTGGGTGTGTTGCATGTGATGCTCAAAAGTATGGAGTTTTTCTTGGTTCTCCTTCTCACATAATCTATGGCTTTGTAGATTCTGAGATTGGCTTCCCATATCTAATCCTCATGGTAGTCGTTTCTATCAACTGTCCCTTCCTCTTTCCTTCTCCACCACCCAGTTAGTGTGTGTTGTGGAAGATTCTCAGAGTTGGTTTGAAAGACTCTTCATATTGGGAGAGACCCAAGAAAAGTAACACCAGAAGAAAAGCTACCTTTGAAATGTGGTGTGAATTGACATCTCTTCTCAAGAACATTGAGTTGGCTTTGCTCCCAAGCTTACTTGATTTGTGTGTGTGTGTGTGTGTGTGTGTGTGTGTGTGTGTGTGTCATAAGTATGTTATCTCCATAAACGAATAACCTGGGCCAGTCTACTGTTTGCTTTAGAAGAAGACAAGAAATCTAAGCTAGAGAAATTTTTGGTAGGTTCTTCTCGATTCTTCTGTCCTTCAAGGGTATCTATGGGTGAGGTCTCCTTTAACAGATACTGTTTGGGTTGGTTAGACAATGGAGGGTTAAGAAATATTTCTGAGTAGGCCAGATTTAAAATTGGAATCTTAAGCTGCTCTTTAGACCAAATTGTCCCCATTAAGGATGGATGTTTTCACAGGCCCTGAAGGTGCTTTCTCTGCCTTTTTTTGAGATACTAGTTTCTGTTTCTTGCAAGCTCATCCTTCTTCCCCAGTTTTGAAGTCTTTGAGATATGTTTACATCATTACATTTGGCTTGTTTAAGCTGTATAACTTTCTAGGTGGCTAAAATAGCTGTGGTGCTATTTTAGGATCATGGGAGTTGTAGTCACAGTCATTTTACCAGATTGGTAAAAGGAAGAGACTGACTTCCTGAAAAATGTGTACCAAACTGTTCCCCAGAGGCAGCCGGTTGTGTATACAAAAAAAAAAAAAACATTTGTGTTCTGTTGAGACAAAGAAATTGGCCTCTTATACTTCCCAGTATGCTAATATCTCTCTTTTGCTTGCCACACTGTATGGCTATATAATTCTTTCTCTGTGCTAATCGCCCTGACCTTAAATGCACACAATTGTGGCCTTGTGACCAGTCAGACACGTGACACCAAAAGAGGAAAGTTTATTCCAGAAAATGCACACAACAACTTGCCTATTGTGGGGTTGGTCCTCCAGATGTTGTTGATATGACTCTCCCCGTCAGCTGGCGAAGAGCAAGGAATTCTGGATTTGTAATTCGACAACATCTGGAAGATCTGTCTCTGCGGAAATGAAACTTGGACTTTGAGGAAACAGCATCAAAATTTGAACTTCGGAGTTGGAGAAGATTGCTGAGAAGGCCATGGACAACCAAGACAAGATCAATCAAGTCGTCAAACCGATAAATCCAGAGGTCTCACTCAAGGCACGAATGTTCAAGCTCAAATTGTCCTACTTTATGTGAAGACCTCTGGAGAAGGTTCAGATGCTAGAAAAGATGGAAGGAAAGGCAAGGAGAAGATGAGATAGATGGACTCAAGTTACAGTGACGATTGGGAGATATTTTTGAAGGCATCATTCTGGAGAAAATCTATGTAGAGAGTCAACACCAACTTCATGGCATTCAGTCAATCACAGATGAAGTCAAATTTCTGTTTCCTATCAACTTCCTCTGTTGAACTAAGATGTAAACCAGGGATGTCCAACGTTGGAAACTTTAAGATCCATGGACTTCAATTCCTAAAACTCTCTAACTAGTATGCTGGTTGGGGAACTGGGGAGTTGAAGTCCACCCATCTTAAAAACATGCTGTCTGGGAGTTGAAGTCCCCAAGGCTTAAAGCTGCCAAGATTGGACATGCCTGCTGTCAACCAAAGTTTGTCAAGACGCACCTTCATTGTTCTTCTCTCAGAAATGAATGTTATGTTTTTTTCATTTTACCTATGCTGTTTTAATTATACCTGCAAAACACAGTTACACCTTGTTCCAAATAGACAGACTTGAGCAATGCAGTGATTTCATCCCAAAGTGCTGTAAAGGAGGACTTTTTCTCATTGCTCTCCCAGCTATTTTCAAGTTCCTCTTTTAAATTGATTTGTTTCCTGTTCCTTTCTTTGACACATGGTGATTTTTTTTAAAAAAAAAATCCCAAGTAAGATTTCTCATAGTTCTGAATTCAGCTGTCATCACTGCAAGGAAATGAAACCCATCTGAAACCTAAAAATGGCAAAGGTTGAGAAGCCCAAAATCCTTCTACATCTGACCAGGGGGACGAGCGATTCTTAACTCATTATGGTCAAAGGAATCCTTGTATATTTTGCTTACTGCATATTTCTCCAGGAACTCAAAGCACGGAGTCTGTCCTCCAGTCTTGACCCCCTGCAATGAGTAGTCCTCGATTTATGTCCACAGTAGGGACCAGAAATATCATCATTAAGAGCTGCGATGGTGCAGTGGTTAGAATGCAGTACCACAGGCTACTTCTGCTGATTGCCAGCTGCCAGCAGTTTGGCAGTTCAATTCTCACCGGCTCAAGCTTGACTCAACTTTCCATCCTTCCTTCTGAGGTCGGTAAAATGAGGACACAGATTGTTGGGGGTGATATATGCTGACACTGTAAACCAACCTTCCATCCATCCATCCATGGTGTACAGAGGTTAGAATGCATCATTGCAGGCTGACTCTGCCCACTGCCAGGAATTCGATTCTCACCAGCTCAAGGTTAACTCAGCCTTCCATCCTTCCGAGGTGGGTAAAATGAGGACCCAGATTGTTGGGGGCAACAGGCTGACTCTGTAAACTGCCTAGAGAGGGCTGTAAAGCATTGTCAAACGGTATATAAGTCATAGTACTGTTGCTTTTCCTTTTCCTCCTTCCTTCCTTCCTTCCTTCCTTCCTTCCTTCCTTCCTTCCATCCATCCATCCATCCATCCATCCATCCATCCACCCACCGTGGTTCAGGGGTTAGTATGCAGCATTGCAGGCTGGTTCTGCCCACTGCCAGCAGTTCAAGTCTCACCAAGTTGAAGGTTGACTCAGCCTTCCATCCTTCCAAAGTGGGTAAAATGAGGACCCAGATTGTTGGGCGCAAGAGGCTGATTCTGCAAACCACTTAGAGGTGTGAAGCGGTGCATAAGTCTAAGGGCGGTTGCAATTAAATGATGTGGTCATTAAGGGAGGCATCACGTGACCACACTCCCATTTTACCACTTTTTTGCCTCAGTCATTAAGTGGGACATGCGACTACAACCTTCCCTTTTTTTTTTTGGACTTTGCTTGTTGGCTGGGAAGGTCATAAATGGATACCATGTGACTCCCAACACACTGCAAACACCGAACATTTGTCCCCTGGGGTATAAAATGGTCTTCTCAAGCAAGTGACCGGATTAGAAGGCCTTTAAGGCCTCTTCCAACCTTGTTATTCTAAGTAACCTAAGTAAATGCATAATCTTAAGTGCCTGGTTTATGGTCCTCCAAAATTACATCCCCCTAATCTTATTTACTGAGGGAAATGGTGGCTCAGTGGCTAAAACACTGAGCTTGCTGATCAGAAAGGTCGGTGGTTCAAATCCCTCAGTGTAACTGACTGAGCTCTTATTACTTGTCCCAGCTTCTGCCAACCTAGCAGTTCGAAAGCACGTAAAAATGCAAGTAGAAAAATAGGGACCACGTTGGTGGGAAGGTAACAGCGTTCCGTGCGCCTTCAGCATTTAGTCATGCTGGCCACATGACCACGGAGACATCTTCGGACAGCGCTGGCTCTTCGGCTTTGCAATGGAGATGAGCACCGCCCCCTAGAGCCGGAAACGACTAGCATGTATTATGTGCGAGGGGAACCTTTACCTTTTAATCTTATTTATTTCCCTGATTTTAAAACCTGGGACACTATGAAAAGACAAAGAATCCAAATTCCAGGGGACTTTCTTTCCTTTGAGTGGTTTTAAGCAAACCAGAAGAAAGAGGGCTAGGAATGAGGGCAGCAGCCCTGTTTGGTCCTCATCCAGCTGTGTTGGCATAGATTCCCGAGACCAGAAACTGGATCTTTTAATGAGGCCACGAATAAGCCCTGTTAGTTAAGGAGGTTGGCTTCATGCAAGCCGGGATGGCATCATTGAACCAAAAACACAGCAAAACAAGTCTCTGGATGATTCAGCTGGCACGGGAGGAATGTTCTGAATTTTTTATTTTCTTCCCTTTTTTTGAAAGAGAAACAGTAGTGGCTTTTCATCCGCAGCTGTGTCATAGAACAGCAGCCCCAATGAGTCATGAAAAATGGGGTTTGGGGGCCAAGGGTGTGTCCTGTGTGGATAGATATATCCCTATAACAGCTGCTGGGAAGTCAGTCCCCCCAAAACGGCGAATTATTATTCTCTGTTCTCAATGTTTCTCAACTTTGGCTGCTTTAAGATAAGTGGACTTCAACTCCCAGAATTCCTCAGCCAGCCACGGAGTTCCACCCATTTGGATGTGATTTTTCTCCTTGGTGATTCTTTGTTTAGGGTAATGATACCATGGGCGAGAAATGTAGGGCATAATATTAATTTGGAAGACTGGGAAAGAATTTGGAAAAAAAATACAAAATAACGAAATCAACAGTATATAAAGAGAATCAATACAAAATGTGTTATCTGTGGTATCTGACCCCTTTGTGATTAGCCAATATGTATCCATATTTAAGCCCACTTTACTGGAAATGAAAACAAGGGGTACCTTCTTCCATGCTTGGTGGCTTTGCCCAAAGAGTAAGAAATATTGGACAAAAATACGAACATCGATAAGAGAAATTACAAACATTCTATTAGAACTTAAGGCAGAAATCTTTTTATTGGGAATAATAAAAGATGAATATACAAAAGAAATAAAATACTTAATTTTACATATAATTTCTGCAGTGAGGATAGCACTTGCAGTGTTTGGAAGGATGGTTGGATACCAGTAGAAAATAATCCAAAAGGTTTACGATTGCACTGAAATGGACAAACTTACCCTAAAATTAAAAGAAAAGGTAAACTCAAAATATTATACAGTCTGGGAAAACTGGTATAATTGGATAAATAATAGAAACCAGTGAGTCAATAAATAAGGAAGAATATAAAGAGGTTATAGTAGGAGTAATAACCAGATATATGAAATAAGTATTAGAATATTGTTTGATAAGAAAGCACCGTCCTAACTAATTTGTAATTTATACATTCTTTGTTTTTGTTTCGTTTTTTAACGATTTGTATTTTGTATTTATCTTTTTAATGTTTATTAAAGTTTTTCTAATTTAGAAAAAAAAGATATGTGGACTTCAACTCCCAGAATTCCTCAGCCAGCCATGGAGATCCACCAATTAGGATGTGGTTTTTCCCCTTGGTGATTCTTTGATTAAGATAGTGCTTTCTGCTTGCTTGTTTGTCTGGTGTCAACCCCTGCTTATCTAGTTGCCGGCTGCGGGGGAGGATGTGTTAATAAAACTGTACAGGCATGACCGTTGGAAGTTAAGACGGCACTGAAAGAAGTGACTTTAATGGCCATTTTTCACACTTAACAACGATTGCAGCATTCCCGTGGTCACAAGATCAAAATTCAGATATTTGGTAACTGGTTTTTATTTATGACGTTTTCAATGTCTTGGGTCATCTGATCTTCTTTTTTGACTTTCTGACAAGCAACTGTGTTACTAATTTAAAAACTCCGATGATTCACTTAACAACTGCCAAGAATGGTCATAAAATGGGGCAAAATTCGTGTCTTACGTAGCAACGGAAATGCTGGGCTCAGTTGTGGTTATGATTCGAGGACTACTTATATTGAGTGGATTAGAGAGGGCTGTGTAACTCTAGATCAGTTTCTCAAAGTTGGCAGCATTAAGATATATGGACTTGAGCTCCCAGAATTCCCCAGCCAGAAAAGCTGACTGGGGAATTCTGGGCGTTGATACCCACATGTCTTTATGCCACCAAGGTTGAAAACACTGGATTACAAGAATGCTACTTCATTCTTATAGGATAGAAGAACAAAATCTTGGAAAATCTGCCAAAACTTTCTTCCACCGCCTCTGATGCCAAATAGAATCAAAATGGGGCTTTCTTGAGTTTCTTTCTTGGCTGGGGGATTCTGGGTGCTGAAATCCGTTCATCCTGAAAGGTCCAAGGTTGAGAAACTCTGCTCTCCACGGACTAAAAATGGAATTCTGTTTTGCATTTCTCAGTTGCTTTTTATAGAGGCAAAGATTTGCACCTGCTCTTTCAAAGTTTGCTTCCTGAAATATCTCTGGTCTCCTTTGTATGGTATTATAAACATTATGCCTGTAAAATGTTCCCGCTGCATGTGGGATCCCCCTGTGATTGAAATGATTATTCGAGAGAGAGAGAGAATTTATAGATAGATAGATTGATTGATTAATACACACACACACACACACACACACACACACACAAGCAGGGTACCCGTGCTTCGCTATGAAACTGTGTGATCGGGCAAGTTTTGGGGGAGGAAAATAAGGAGAAAAAAATTCTGCCTCTGCCTACCCGCAATCCATCAGTATTCATCTGGCTAGCGTCCTATCCGTGTGTGTGAGAGTGGAGGGCTGTTTGGAAACTGAAACAGTATTTGCTATGTGAGCAAGGAGGAGACAGCAAGGAGCCCGGCCGTGGCTTAGCTGAACTGCATATGGAAGAGATTTCTTTTCAGGTGGGGAGCGGGGAGTAGAACTTGTTTTATTGGAGTGTGTTAATAATAATAATAATATAGGAAATACTAATGTTCCAGTGGTGATTTTGAAAAATCCTTTCTTAGCAAGCACCCAGAACTTTCCTCATATAGATTTCTTTTCCCTGGAAAAAAAATAAATGTCTCCTTTAGGTGAAGGATCGAGGTCCAGAAGCCACCCGGCGTTTCTTTAACTGGTTTTACTGGAGCATCAATTTGGGAGCCATCCTCTCTCTGGGGGGCATTGCGTACATCCAGCAGAACGTCAACTTCGCCATCGGCTACATCATCCCCACGGTTTGCATTGGCGTCTCCTTCGTGGTCTTCCTGTGTGGCCAGAGCGTCTTCATCACCAAGCCACCGGATGGCAGCGCCTTCACCGACATGTTCAAAATCCTGGCTTATTCTTGCTGTAACCGAAAACAGCCAGAGCGGTTTTCCAGCCCTAGGTAGGTATAGAAGTGAAGGCTGAGGTCTGTGTGTTTGTGTGTGTGTGTCTTGGTTGGTGTAAAAATGGGAGTCTGGTTGTGCATGAAGTTTGTGTTGCTTAAGATCGAGGGGAGGGCTCTGTTAAACCAGCTTTGTGGGGTCTTGAAAATGAATAGTCCGTCATAGTCATTTTTGCCCAGCCTTTGGCAGCTCCTTGGTTTTCTTTGGGTGTGTTTGTGGTTCTTGAAGGCCTCCAAAACTGCCCTTCAAAATTTTGATGGGCAGTTTACTCTACAATATAGCACTCCTTCCTTTCTCCTCTCTTCCCTTCCTTTTGTTTCTTTCTCTCCCTCCCTTCCTTCCTTTGTTCCTTCCTTCCTTCCCCCTTTCTCTTTGGCTTCCCTCCCTCTTTCTACTTCCTTTCTTCCCCTTCCACCCTTTCTCCTTCCTTCCCTCCCTCCCTCCCTTTCCACCCCATCATATACAGAGTATTTCAGACACTTCATGCAAGACTTTGATATTTTCCTGGGGGGGAAAAAAACTGCCTTCAATCTGAAAGAATTTCAATTTCTGATTTGCACCCTAACCAAAAGGCAGTATTAAATCCTTCCACCCTTTCTCCTTCCTTCCTTCCCCTTCCACTCTTTCTCCTTCCTTCTTTCCTTCCTTCCCCTTCCATTCTTTCTCCTTCCCCCCTTCTTCCTTCCTTCCTTCCTTCCTTCCTCCCTCCCTTTCCACCCTTTCTCCTTCCTCCCCTCCTTCCTTCCTTCCTTCCTTCCTTCCTTCCTTCCTTCCTTCCTTCCTTCCTTCCCTTTCCACTCTTTCTCCTTCCTCCCCTCCTTCCTTCTTTCTTCTTCCCCTTCCCCCCTTTCTCCTTCCCCTCCTTCCTTCCTTCCCTTTTCACTCTTCCTTCCTTCCTTCCTTCTATCCTTCCTTCCTTCCTTCCTTCCTTCCTTCCTTCCTTCCTTCCTTCC